AAAACTAGATGAGAAAAGGGAAAAAAAAAAAAGGCTCATTTTAAGTACATTAATATGAAAATGGCAAATGTCAATGATCCCTGTTGATCATCTCTGATATAAAGAGCACATGATGACTGAGAGGAGGCACGAATGAAAGAAAGGGATTAACATACCAGGAAACAAAACATCTTTGTGAAACACACTTCAAGGTTTAGAGCCAGGGTTAATCCCAGCCACACAGAGCACTACCTTCACTCATTCATGTTCACTGCGACAATTTTCTTCCCAACAAAAAAAAATCTCGCACAAGTCGAAGCACGCAGGAATGAATCATCAAACAATTCTCCATGCGGTCGGAAAGATGTGGAACCGTGTCACAAAAAGACAACAATTCAGTCAAGAATTTGGATACTTAACATGATCATTTGTGAGTTTTTGCACACGTGTCCGGTTGTTCTTTTGTGATTCCTCAGTGTCGACAAGTGAGGCACTAGCGAAATGCAAGCTCGCAAGAATTTCACTTAATTCAGTTCACAACTTCAGCTGATGCGACTGACATGGAGATCAGATCTACACGCCTCCGAGGCAAAAGAATCAGGAGAGAAGAAAAAAGGAGGTTATCAAGTTTACCATCAGCAACACAACAGCTTCCGCGGTTTTTGTACACAAAGGCGGTCAGAGCTATTTAACAAGGCGGAATGAAAGCGAGTAGCTTGAAACTTCAGCTCTGAAGAAGGAAATTTAGCGCAGTCTTACACTTCTTTCAACATCTTTCAGGATCACACATAGTATAAATTTATTCACTCAACAGTTAAACTCTGGATTACACACTGAATCACATCACCTAAATTGCAGCCTTTGCCATGTGCTAATTGAACCGTTTCAAATCAATTAACTGGCCTAGTCTGTCATCCCTGATAAATTAAACATCCTGCACATAAACCCTAACAATAGCTGTATTCCCATAACATACTTTTATGCACATTTAGAAACGTAAATTAGGTAAAAGTTGAAAAAAAAAATAAGGTTTTAGGCTCAGCTGAGGAGGTTTTGACTTCTTCGGAAGAAGACTGATGTGCATATTTGGGACATTACAAAAGTTTGCTTCAACAGAGTTTGACAGTTATACAGAAATACAGTGAACGTTAGCTGTACACTTAATATGCATGTTCATTTTGTGCTTGGAATCAGGTCAGCAGTTATAATAGAAAGAAAAAGCATTTAAAAATCCAACACAACAATGTCCAAAAACCAAGCACTCAAAATTACATTTTTTTTTTTTTTTACACATTTCCTTGCTTAAAAAACTAACTCCATCTGATCTTCAAATTAAAATTACTGTACCTCAAATGTCTGCCTAATATGGTTTATAGCCTCTTATATAATATTTGCGATCAGTGATGAAAAAAGCCAAACCCAGCCAACACAAATGTCTCCCAATCCATCTCAGGCCACTCTGACTCTGTTAAGCCTCTAAATCCAGCAAGAACTCATTTAAAAAGATTTTTGAGCAGTTCTGCCAGAGCTTTGATCACTCCAATAAGAACTTCCTTGCAAATTTGCAAACTGTGTGGCGCTGGCCTGGCAGCTGCCCCGGGCTGCTGGAAATCTTTTAGGAGGATTCCCTCAAGCTTGACTTTCTTCATTACATTCACCAAGTCCTCTATTGAAAATCTGCTATGCAGCCATTGTTATTGCAGATTTTCCAGGTTCATGGCCCAGGGCTACTTATGTGATATCTAATCTAATCTGATATCTCACTAAACATATGTAGCCTTCATCAAATAAGCACTCTTGTGCAGTTCTCTGGAGGGTTTGTTTTTTTTGAAGGGGAGGTCTAATTGTTTAGTGTCAGTGGATCTACTATTCAAAGTAGATGTGATCTTGTAATAACAGGGCAGTCCCTGAGGCTCATGTGGGTCTTCATTCCACACTTTAAAACCTGAGCAGCTGTAACAACTCATTTACTTCCAGCCAAACCAGTAAGAGTGGTTTCTTTGGGATTATCTGGCAGTGAAGCTCTCACACAAAAATTCTTCTTTTCAAGTCAAAACAGCCAAAGAAGTATTATTTTTAGCACTAAAACGTGCAAGAGCAGCACAAATGGGACAGAAGCATGCGCAGATGTTCGACCGAAACTAAAATTATAACTCAGCACCCCCTCAACGTCAAATTACAGAGAAAACTTCATTGCAAGGGTTTCACAAAAACTGTACACCCACAAGAAAAGCAGGGCCAGATCCGACGTGCAAACTGCTCATACGAGGCTGTGGAGTGGAAGTCATTTTCTCAAAACAAACGCTGGAGGGATGGGAGTCTTTAATCGTAGGGAGGAGGTGGCAGGGGGTGACAATCCGAGCAGCGGAGGCCCAGCTTTGATCTCGTGGACAGCAGGGTCGTCTCACCAAGGTGTTAATTGAGAGACCTCTGCCATATGTCCACAGAGGCTGACCGACCGACCGGCCTGATGATGTGGACCCAGAGCACCGCTAAGCCTGATGTACCAAGCGACGCCAGGCTGAACTTCCACCAGATCAGCTTATGTGTTAGTGTGAAACCAGTGAGAGGCCGTGAAATGCTATGCGTGGTGCTGTAAGACATGCACAATGTACAGATTTAGCAATAAGCTTGATGAAGCATGAACAAGTTGGAGCTCAGAAAGTGAAGTGAAATACTGGTAAACAAGTGGCCTGCACCTTATAATGACTGACCAACGACAAAAATGCATTATTAGATTTGTATGATAGTTTTAATCTTAAACTGAATATCTTTTGGGTTTTAGACAAAACCAAACACTTGCATATGATCTTTTCCTGACATTTTATGGTTCGAGCAGGTAATGGATTATTTAGTTGATATCACAATCATATTGTTAGTAATATACATCTTAATTGTATAATGAATTACCGTAGTTACAAAATGATTTCAGTTAATATTTATGATAAGAGTGGAGCTGCAGCAATTAATCAACTACTTGTAAACTGCTAACTTTTTTTTTCTGGATTCCAGCTTCTTAAATTTGATTATTTTCATGTTTCTTTCCTCACTTATGACAGTGAACTGATTATCTTTGGGTTGTGGTTTTAAAAAAAGGATGATTCAAGATGCCATTTTGGGCTTTTAGAAGCACTGACCAACAATTTTCACAATATTACAAACCAAACGACTAATCCATTATCAAAAAATAATATTCAACTGCAGCTCTAACAGAGATCCTGAGAAACTAATTCATCTCTAGTAACTTTAAAATGAAGTTTTTTGTTAATGCTGTTATTGCTTCTGAAGGATGTGCAGACACACTGACAGACTGAAGACACCTTGAAGACTGAGTGTCCTGCATAAAGATGTTGTACCATCATGGTGGCAGCACAAAACAAGTCTGAGCTGTTTCTTGAAGCACCCAAAGCAAACATTTTGGCTCCACTACTGAAAACTAATAAGCTAAAACAAACTTTCTACCAAGTGTTTCATGGCAAATATTTCAGTTTACTAAGGTCCACTTGCATCCAACACAACTAAACGCATTTGAAATGTACCATTTCAAATTTCTGATAATTTTTGGAGAGGGTAACTCTAGTTGAGAAATGTTTTACTTGGGGAAATGTGTCTGTACATGAGTTCAACATCATTTAGTGTGAAGAACAAAGTGTCTGTCATCTAAAAAGTTACAAAAGGATGGTAGCTCAGAATATTTCTGTGTTTTCATGAATCAAGCAAATGAATCTTGAATTACTGCCACAAATGAAAGCTGCAGATCAGTGTCACAAGAAAAAAAACACTCAAGAAAATCATCTCTTTAAAAACAATTTCTAGAAATAAAGATGTTTTCCAAAAGTGACTTCAAAAAAGGTCGTGAGTTTCACCAAAGCCACATCAGGTTGGGACTGAAGAAACGCTTTGTTTGGTCTGGATGAAAGCACTGCTTGAAATCTGTACTTATTATACCCAAGTGTAGAAAAATGGATTCAGGGATATGCCAGAAGTGCCACACTGGAAGCCAAAGAATTTCATTAAACCGCCTTCACAATGCTCATATTCTTCCCCTTGACATATCAATTCAGCGCTTTATCTCTGAAGAAAAGTGGAAAAGCCTCTGAGTCCTGAGAAGATGAAGAGCCCCCTGCTTGACCCCAGCTCTTTACCAGCACAATAGGGACCACCATCCAGGTCGGTATCCCCTCTATTCTGACCCCAAAATGCCTCAGCTCCCCGCCACAACCTCTGTCAATGGTGTGGATGGAGAAAAATAACTCCGCTGTATGATTTGGATACCAGATATGACCAACGGCAGCTTCATTTACACTGTGCGCAACATTTCGAAGCTGATGACAGTTCCTTTCAGCGCCCCATAAAGAGGCTTTTGTTAGGAGTCAATCACTGTACTGTATTTCAGGCTATGAGGAGGAGGCAATGAAAATGACTGTAGTGAAAGAAAGACAATTTAGCATTCTTGCGTTTGAGGTGAGGATGTTTGGGACACTGCAAGTCTGTGGTTTGAGCTCCAAGCAAAGTTAATCATATGGATTACAAGAGGGGTAGGTGTTTAGAAACTGTTTAATTGACAAAATCCCTGCAAGGAGCCTCCACTGCTGTTATGATTTTACCACATTTCCTTTGCACTTGGAGCTCAAAGTTCAGCCACACACAGCACACATGTGAGGCCCTTCCTAGCACTGGCATGACACCTGTGTGGCGCAAAGAGGCTTGTCTGGTTGGAAGGAAATAAATAAAAACAGCGCCAGATTACCACGACGAGCAGGTGCAACAAACACCATATGACTTTAACCGTAATCCTGCTTAACCAGCAGCGCTTCATGGGATTGTCTGGTCTGGTCGCTGCAGGACCACCTGATCCGACAGCACGCATCGAAGACACACTGAATTTAACACGAGCAATTAAGAGAAAAGCTTGTGCATGTAAGCACAACAACGTCCTCGAGAGTTTAAATGGTGAGAAAATAACCTAAAAGTTGTATTTATCAGAAGCTCCCATGCGACTCCAAAGCGTTTTAACTCACCCGACGCCAAGTGTCCCCAGGCTCTTTCTGGACTTGAATGCAACTCCTCCTCTCTGCTGTATCAGCGAAATGTCCTTGGAAGGAAATTCTCGCAGGTAAGTCGTCTGGATAACGTGGAGACTGAAAGAAAACCTCAACTTTATACCCCCGGGCACACAGCACGTCCCGTCTGCAGCACCAGCAGCCTCTTTGTACTTCAGTACGGCAGCAAGTTGACCCGCGGACATGCGCAGTCGGTTCCCAGGCGAGCTCAGTCCTCTCAGCGCCGATATGAAGGTCAGTCCGTGCCACAGGTGTAGCTTACCTGCCGCCGGCTTGGCCTACTTCTACCGGCCAAGTCGCACACAGAGCTAAGCTAATCAAACAGGATGTTCACTGACGCTTTATAGGGTCAAAGTTAAAGTAGTTAATGAAAACTTACCGGGTTCCGAATGAGTTAGCTAGCTGTTTATGTACTAACCAGCAGATGCATTAGCTTAAAATCACTTCAACACCTTTAACCTGAGGTATTGCACAATTTTACAGCACTGTAGCTTCGTATATTAAAGTAAATTACCAATAATAAATGTTACATCTAACGTACACTAATGTTTAATAACATTTAAGTGACATATTGGATGTCCGATTCAACATAGCGAGAGTATAAGATTCTCCTCCGCAGCACAATATAGGTCTTACAGGTGTCCAGTGTATTTTAATGGAGCTGATATTCGGTTGGCGCATTAATATCAACATTTTTTAATTGTTCTGTGTCACAGAGGTTCTCTCTGGGACTACATTTAGCTGTTTCTAAAATGGTTCGGTTCGTTAATTGAAATTTAATATTTCATTCAGTTGCAACGCTACATGATTGTAAATATATACAGGGGTTATTATGAAGATTAATGATAATTCCAAGCAATTAAAACACTACAGTGCTTGGGGCCAGATGAAAGCGTCTCAAAGGCAGCTAACTGGCCGAGGACGCCATCTTGTGACACTTTATTGTAATGGGAGTAAATAAGGTCCAACTCCTCATGTGGATAGTTTTTGGAATGAAAATCCCTCAGATACCCTATTTTGCAGTATATATTTGTGAGTGAAAAGCCAGAAACTTTATTGTGTTGTATTTAAATTATAGTAGCAACTGTGTTCAACTTGCCCTTTTAAAAAAAATTCATTTGATTCTATGGGACTGACTGGAAGAAGACATTACTCCAAAAGAAACATAAAAAAAAAGGCAGATTACAGTTTGTAAATGCACACAGGGACAAAGACTTTCATTTTTGGAGACATGTCCTGTGGTTTGATGAAACTAAAACTGAACTGTTTGGCCATAATGACCATCGTTGCATTTGGAGGAAAAAGGGGGAAACTTGCAAACCTGAGAACACCATCCCAACTGTGAAGCACGGGGGTGGCAGCATCATGTCGTGGGGGTGTTTTGCTGCAGGAGGGATGAGTCCACTTCACAAAATAGATGGCATCATGAGGAAAGAACATTATGTGGAAATGTTGAAGCAACTTCTCAAGACATCAGCCAGGAAGTTAAAGCTTGGGTGCAAGTGGGTCTTCAAATGGACAATGACTCTAAGCATTCTGCCAAATTATTTACAAAGAGGCTTAAGGACAACAAAGTCAATGTGTTGGAGTGGCCATCACAAAGCCCTGATCTCAATCCTGTAGAAAATTTGTGGGCAGAACTGGAAAGGCGTGTGCGAGCAAGGGGCCAGCAAACCTGACTCAGTTCCACCAGTTCTGTCAAGAGGAATGGGCCACAGTTCATGAAACTATTGTGAGAAGCTTGTGGAAGGAACCCAAAACGTTTGACCCAAGTCCATCCATCCATCCATCCATCTTCTCCCGCTTATCTGGAGTCGGGTCGCGGAGGCAGCAGCCTGAGCAGAGCCGCCCAGACTTTCAGATCCGCACACACCTCCTCCAGCTCTTCCAGGGGGACCCCTTGGCGTTCCCAGGCCAGTCAAGAGACATAATCTCTCCAACGTGTCCTGGGTCTTCCCCGGGGCCGCCTCCCGGTGGGACGCGCCCGGAACACCTCCCCAGGGAGGCGTCCAAGCAGATGCCCGAGCCACCTCAGCTGGCCCAAGTCTTACAGTTTAAAGGCAACGCTACCAACTACTAAGGAAATGTATGTAAACTTCTCACTTTGAAGAAAGTAATTAAAAATCCTCTATACATTGTATGTGAACTTTTGATTCCAACTGTATATGGATCTAATGACCTTTTCCACTACAAATTCAGTGGGTGTATGAGGTCAAATTTATATTTTTCAGAGTAAAGACAGTCCTGCTCTTGTCTGAGGCACATGTTTTGCCTTCTTCTGCTTCTTTAATGTTATTTATTGAAGTGGACAAATGCACACATTCATGTTCAGAATCCATTTTTTTGTTTGTTTGTTTTTTTTTGCCAAGTAAGTTTTCACATACAGGTTATTTTACTTGGTGTTGTGGTGCATAATAGTGACAAACTGACAGAACATTTTTAAAGGGGGATAAAAGATTAAGAAACAAAAAGCGAGTGTGGAAACTATTACAAAACAAATAGAAGTGTAGCAAAAACTGAGAAAGCTGTATAGGCTGGTCAGGAATGTGTGAACGTGCAAAATCACACAGTATGTAATGTAAATAACCTAAAAATGTGCGAAAGATAATCCTTTTCACAGCCACGTGTTAACACTTTAAAGTCTGTGTTTATGGTGGGGGTTGGGGGTGGGGGAGGAGGTACTGCTACTGGGGATCTCTGGCATTGTTGAGGCCAGCTGCTGCTCTAAATATTAGGAGGGACATACCCCTTCGTTTTCTCCCCCCCTAAAAAAAAATCTATGCCAATGTCTATCACCTGGCTATACCAACCTAACAGTGAGGCATGGCAGTGGCAGCATCATGCTATGGGAGTACTTCTCAGCAGCAGAAACAGGAACAATGGTAAGAAATGAACACCTTCCAGCCCGCTATAACCTGAATCAAACAGACAAGACAATACTGTAGGGGCTTCATGACAAGACTCTGACTGTCCTTGAGTGGCCCTGCCAAAGCCTAGACTTAAACCCAACAGACCATCTGTGGAGGGACCTGACGATGGCAGCTCCAGGACGTACTGTCCAATCTGATAGAGAAATAGGATAAACTGCCCATATCCAGGTGTGCAAAGCTTGTGAAGACTTACCCAAGACAACTGGAGGCTGTATTTGCTGCTAAAGGGGTTTCTGCAAAGCACAGAATTTAAGGTGTGAATACTTTTGAAGGCTAAAGTTTTGCAAAAATGTCAGAAAACTAGTTTAAGTGCAGATTGATGGTAGTGGTGGGCTGATCGATCCAAAGTATCCATAGTATTGATACCACATTGGTATCGGAATCGGATCAATACTTACGTGATGGAATCGATACTTTTCTATTTTCTCTTCTCTACATTCAGCAACAGTTACATAGTGGTTGTGCAAACGTCGCTCCTCTTGCTCACTTCTCTTTTCACGCTCACGTCTCTCCTCTTTCTCACTTCTCCTCACATCTCTCCTCTCCTCTCATCTCTCCTCTTCCTCACTTCTCTCTTCACTTCTCTCCTCTTTCTCACTTCTCTCCTCAAGTCTCTTGTCTCCTCACATCTCTCCTCTCCTCTCCTCTCCTGTCTCCTCTTTCTCACTTATCTCCTCACATCTCTCCTCTCCTCTCCTCTCCTCTCCTCTCCTCTCTCCTCTTTCTCACTTGTCTCCTCTCTTCTCTTCTCACA